TTCGCGAGTGGCAGGAGCGGCGGGCGCGGTGCGGTGGTGCGGCAGCTGCAGGGGTGGTTGTGGGCGGGGGCGGGCCGATGAAAGGAGCCCAGCGGGGGTCCTGGTGATGCTAGCAAGCCACCGCCGCCTCTGTGAGAGTCCACATGGGCAGGCCTTTGCGCAGTTTTGAGTGCCCTCCCCCGCTCAGCTGGTGGGCGTCTCTTGCACAAACGAATGTGTACGATACCAGCAATAATCGTATGCACGCCGCATACGGTGCTGCATCCAGTCTCCAGGAGAGCACAGTTGCTGACGGGTTGTGGGGCTGCTACCTTGTTGGCCAGCCATGTAGCTGTTTTGGAGGCGCCTCCTGTGGGTTTACACCAACGAGACGCCTCCGTTTGGCGTGCTTCACGCAAACGTGATTATTGGCCGCGGTTGCTGTTCAAAGCTGTTGTGCGCCTCGCGCCGTGCCCCGTGCCCCGTGAGTCCTGATTGTGAGTGCAAGGGACGCGGTTACAGAGTAACCCGCGCGCGCTTGCCTGGAAGCTGTGCGGGGCGGTCGGGCTGCCATGGGAACTCACGTCGTGACAGCCATATGATTGAGGCTGAATAACCCTGATAGCTCGAAGTTTTGAATCATTCCGTGCCATGCGCGCTGACAAGCATCAGGAAACGATCAACAATCGCCCTGCATCGGTCACCGGTATTTTCAACAATTACCGCACACACAATTCAAAGCGTAGAGTTGCAAGCGCATACGCGACGTCGTGCCGCCTGCTTGCGCCGGCACAATCGTGCCGCGCGATCTCAGGGGACTCTTGTACCGCCCGCACCACTAGCACCCCAAGCACACGCGCGGCCGCGGCGTGGCCGCCCGCGCAGCCATGGATCATAAAGAGAGCAGACGCCTGCTGATCGACGAAATTCCCCATGACCCGGCCGATGACGACGCCAGCGGTGCAGAGGCGGAGCACCGACCGCTCCTTTCGAACCGCCCCCCGCCCAGCGAGAACCCCGGGGCCGCGCCCCCGCCCGCCGCGGCGCCCGCGCCGACGCCGTGGCACGCAGCCGGCGCCCCACATTCATATGCAGGCGCCCCTGGCACTGCCGAGGCCGGCCCCGGGCCCTATGACGACGCGGCCGCAGCGGCGGCGTGGTCACAGCCGCTTGGCGGCAGCTGCGGGCGAGGGGAATCGATCGTGGTGTCGCTACCCCAGGAGCAGCACACGTGCCGCATATGCTTCGGTGAGCGCGACAGCCCTCGTGCGGCGGGCGCGCCCAACAGCTAGGCGGCCTCTACTTCGTGTTTGCCCCCGTCGGGTCTTCGAGCAATGAGAGCAAAAGTCAGCGCTCTGCAATGGCTGTGGCGCGCCCCGCCTCACCGCCGCCGTGCGCCTCTTGATCTTCCACGATCTCCGGAATCTGTAGATCTAGCTTCAGAAGACCCTGGCAACCCGGTGCGTGCATGGGTGGCGTGCGCTGCTCACTGCTGCGCACACTGCCAGTGCTCAGCGTGCCACCATGTGTGCTCCCCGTCCGAGGCACGCACATGGCCGCTTCGATCGAACACCCCACTCCTGCGCGCAGCCCTGCTTGCCAGCGCCCGGCCCCCCCCCTTCAATCCCCGTGCCACGACACGCACGTCGCCATGTGTATGACCGCGGCCGTTTGCGCGCCTTGTACCCCCCTCCCCCTGCCCACCCGACACCCGCCCGTGCTGCACAACCACCGCCTGCATTTGCCACCCCTCACCCTACTGGGGTGCATCCCGGCCCGACCTCACCTGACTCAAAGCGACCTCTCGATTGCACCATTTGACGCCACTCCGCCCCAACCTTGACCCACTCCTCGTATCATCCCCCCTGGGTGCAGCTTATCCTGCCCTGCATGTGCACATCACTCTGTCTCTCGCCCCTCTCCCCCACCTCCATCATCCCCCCCCCTGGCGCAGCTTGTTTCACCCCCGCACGTGTACGCCGCTCCGCACCCACATCGTGTCCCACATCGTATCCCACATCGTAACCCCCCCCCCCCGCACCCGCCGCAGCTCATTTCGCCGTGCATGTGCAGCGGGGGCTCCCGGTACGTCCACCGCCGCTGCCTCGCGCACTGGCGG